AGTTTTGTTTGTTTGGTTTATTGATTTGGAGGATAGGAAATGAGAAATAGCAAAGAAATACAATATTATGTTATGAAATATACAATGCAAAGTATAATAGTATAATATCAAAAGTGAAATAAAGTCAGTGTACAATTAAAAACAAATTATTCTTCATGAAACCTAGTTCCATAAATTAAAATATAAGTAGCCAAATCAATTCAATTGTAATATCTATTCAAATTAATCTACATGATTGTCATTTTAGCATTTAGTGTGCACCATATGTATTTCATCATTGGTTAAGATCGGGCAACAATGTATTGGTTTGCAAGCCAATCTCTAGATTAGAGATGGTAACTCACATAGGGATTGTGCTGGGTAAACGAAGCATTCGTTGTGCAGTCAAAATGGGCCAAAACTGATCAATACTAAATTTGTCGTAAGCACAGCATACTGCAAATTGCATGGATATGACTAAGCTTGTAACCTAGTCTACACTTTCTATTGTTTTCTAAAAAGCATTATTTATTTATTTAGGGAATATGTAATAACATTAGTTGACCAAAACTACTATGGGGAGCAGCTTTCAGTGTTTCTCAAGCCATCTGGATTGTTGTGACTTGGAATATAAAAGGGATAAATATTAAAAAGCATGAATCAGAGAAAGAAAAAGAAAGAAAGATTATAAATCTGTAAAATTAAGCAAAAAGGAAAAGATGTATAAAGTAAAGGTGAATAAAAAGGCTAACATTTATATAAGAAAGTATGTACTGCATTGGTTAAAGACGAAGACTAAATGCAGTGTGATGAATTCAAAACAATAGATGTGGACAATAGTAGAAAAGAGAAAAACAGGAAAATTATTTTTACAGGGAGAGGAAAGAAAAATAATTTTACTTAGGTCTTTACATCTCTATTGATCCTTGTATAGCTTTTCTTGTATCATATAAATAGTGGAACAAATAGGCCCATCTGCATAATAGCTAGCAGTTGATATGGGGGCGGCAGTGTTGGTTGGTTGGCTGGGTACAGCTTGCAAGCCACAATTTTTGTTCTACTGTCTTAGGGCTTGCTATTCAAAAAGAATTCAGCTGTTAGGCTTTGCTTTGCCACTCAAACAACCATAGTAAGGGATTTAAACTGCAGTTAAATAAGTGGTTCTGTATGCTTCACTCATGTACTTTGTAAGAAAACAATTACTTCTGGTATTCTTGTGTTATGTATTTTATTTGTTAGGGGTTTTGCAATTTTAGCCAGCGGCCAAGAAAACATCCTGAAGCCAGAGAATATAGGAGGTAGCATTTTGCAATTCATCAGATCATTTCACAGAGAGCCCATATGAGTCATATTGTATTTTTATTTTATGTGTTCTGGGTATGTGAGCTTGCCATTGCATTCTGGATTCTTATTAGTAGAATAACTTGTAAATTTATTTTCCATATTGATTTGGACACTAGTTATTTTTATACTGCAGTTTACACTTCGTAGTTATTGTTATACAGTTGTATGTAATTTTATTTCCAAACAAATATGAAGTACAAAGGTAATATTTGCTTAATACTTTAGCATGTTTGCAGAATGTCCTAATTCTGTATTTTGGTAGACATAGTTCATAGTTCGGCATGTAGGTAGCATTGCCAAGTATTTTTTTAAAAAATTATATTTCTGATTTTAATAATTTGCCTGTTTAGTGGGAAGCCAGTATATTATACTTATACAGAATATTATTTTTATTCAATATCTACATCAGTTCTGTTTTAGTATTCAGTGCACAAAATACACCTGACCAGAGGTGGTATTCAGCAGGTTCTCACCAGTTCTGGAGAACTGGTAGTGGACATTTTGAGTAGTTCAGAGAACTGGCAAATACCAGCTCTGACTGGAGATTTTACAGTATCCTTCCCCTGCCACACCCACCAAGCCACGCCTGCAGAACCGGTAGTAAAAAAAATTGAATCCCACCACTGCACCTGACCTATCACAAAGTTTGCATATGCTGTTTTCTTAAAGTTGTTTAGTTTCCTTGAACATTTGATGTTTGAGACCTACTTGGGAAGACAAACACTTTGTATTAGTGCAGACCTCTGATAATGATATATTAATCTTTAGATTTGCTTTTGACTCAGTCTTGACTCTGGGTAACTGCCTGGATAGATTTTGGAAGTGGAGTGCCATTGCTTCCTTCCTAAGGCTGATGAGAGACAGTTACTGGTCCAAGCTAGCTTTGGGCCTAAGGTGAGACTAGAATTCACAATCTTGGGCCAGTCACTCACTCTCTACCCCAGAAAGGAGGCAATGGCACTCCACTTCAAACATTTTATCAAGAAAATTTCAGACACCTCTCCACAAAGTTGCCAGGACTAAAAGATCCCCCCAACCTGAACTCAAAGACAAAAACAAACAAACAAAAAACCAAAACCCTATTATTTTATTTTCTCTAAGTTAAGTAATGGTTCCTTTTTTTCTAATTGCCTCTTAAACTTAAGATTTTGCAGAAATCTTACTTCTCCCATATATCATTCATTGAATGTCCTGACAATAATCTCTTTCTCATTGAAGCTTTCCTGGAATAACATGTTCCAGCTTTTAATCTGCTTCTTGGATTTGATGCCATTCCTAAAATGAATACCAAAAGGTCATTTTGGGGGGAGTTGACTCCCAGTTTGTTTGCATAGTGAATGGAGAACCAGGCTCTATGAAGACATCAGTGGTTGCTGAAAGGAAGACAGGCTCAATATGGGAGTGAAGTCCCTGCTATCATTTACAGCTGTTAAAACTGAAAGTGATATTTGCTCATTTTAATCTTTCTCTTTCTCTTTCTCTTTTCATTCCCACTTCCCTTCTTATTCCAAAGGCCTGTATAGATGAAAACCTGGACATGGTAAAATTTCTGGTAGAATATGGAGCCAATGTAAATCAGCAAGATAACGAGGGGTGGACCCCACTTCATGCAGTTGCATCTTGTGGCTATCTGAACATAGCAGAGTGAGTGAGTTTCAGTGTGACCTGGACACTAGAAAGAGTATTTGATTTATTTCAGTTTCAGATGTTGTGAGAGGGGCAATAATTTTAAATGAATTGCCAAGCACGTGCCTGAGACTAAAATATAGGTACGTTTTTGTCTGCATGGCTTTGTTTTACAAAGCAACAAAAATTGTCAGCAGTCCTCTAAATCTTCAGTGTAAATGATGGAATGCTCAAAATAAATAGAAAGATGAGATTCAGACCAATTGAATAACAGGATCAAATAAATAAAAACAATAATCCAAATGTGTTGTAATATTGCAGTGGTAACTCTGATTTTAATACTATGGTCTCTCTCTCTCTGATTTACATTTTAAGACACTTCAGCAATGTATAGTCTTAAATTTAGGATACTTGTGTTGTGTTGGTATTATTATTTAGAACTTTACATTTTAACAGTGTTGAAAAAACTACATGCAATTAATTCCTTAGAGAAATTCTGTGACAAGTAAATAGGATCTTTGATACCAAAAGACTCTATAACATCAGAGACGTCAAATTCTGATTAATGGAATAGGTTCCAAATGTATATCAGCTGTTATTTCATTTTTGTGGTGCTGCAAAGGAAAATTAATAACAACCGTGGTAATCTTTATTTCTTTATTCATTAAATTGTTCTGCCACCCATCTCACTGACACAGCAACTGTGGGTGGCTTACAATATAATAAAAAAGTAAAAAAAAGGTAATACAAAACAATGAAAATTATTAGGATTAAACAGAAAACTGAAAGAAGATGGGTGACATCGGGCTGGGAATCTTCTCTCTATCCTGTCAGCCACCCCTCAATGTAACCCCAGGCCAACCGACACAGCCAGGTTTTCAGGCTTTTCCAGAAGGCCAGGAGTGTTGGGGGGCGGATCTCAGTTCCAGCAGGAAACTATTCCAAAGGACAGGGGCCACAGCAGATAAGGCTTTTCTTCTGAACCCCACCAGCTAAAATTCTTTGGCAGATGGGGTCCAAACTAGGCTTCTTCTGCTGGAGCAAGTGGGTTGGGCTAGTCCCATGGGGATGAGACTGTTCCTCAGATACTGTGGATCCTCTCTCATACAGTGGATCGAGGCTAGTTCAAGTTAATGATCAACACCTTGAATTGGACCCACAGGCAAACTGGCAGCTCACAGTGTTACGTCTGCCATCTGAGAGACCTCCAGAACTATCTGGAGCATTTTTCATCAGTTGCATTCTGTATCAGTGGTGGCTTCCAAACACTCGGTGTACTCCCATGTAAAGCACATTGCAGTAATTCAGTTGAGACATGACCAGGACATGAGTGTCTGTCTACAGGGCCTCACAATCCAGGAAAGAGTGCAAATGGTATACCACATAAAGTTTTGCAAAGATTCTCCTAGGCACAACTCTTTGAGCAGGAGTGGTAAGACTGGGAGAACCACCAGATAATGCATGGAATCTGTATGGGGTAGTGCAACCCTATCCAGAACTAAAGACGATAAACGCTCCAGATCCTAAGGCCCCTTGAACCCACAGCCATTCCATCTGTTAAGGGGTCAGCTGAAACCTGTGGTCCCCCATGCAGATCCCCACAGCCTCCAGACCCCTTGAGAGGGCAGCTATCACATCACTTGGATCACCAGAGCTAGATATGTAAAGTTGAATATCATCAGCATATTGATGAAAAGTCATTTAACATCCACCCGTATCAGCGACTGTTCGAATTTTACTATGAAGCTGAATGAGGAGCACTTACGAAGTTGTGGCCATTGCAGTGTCCCCATGGTCATGTTATTACAATTCAGGCACTTGGCGATTGGCTTCCAATTACAATGTCACCGACCTGAAGTCCATTTACGACCTTCACTGCTGGTTTCTAACAAGCAGAGTCAAGGACGAAGCCACCAGATGGTTGCAAATGGTAATCATCAGAACCCTGCGACCATGTGAGATTTGCCTAATGAGAGCAAATGGGACTGCTATTATAAATCAGCACAGTTACGCCTTACAACGAAGTCCTGGTCCCAATTACTGTTAGTAAGCAAGGACTATCTGTAATAAAGCAAACCATAACCTTCTGATAAGGTTGATGAATCTCTGATAATAAACATACCCTAATTGTCCTATCCAAGCTAGAAAAATGGGTTGAAGATTCCAGCCCAGTCTCTACTGAAGATGTCATTATAGCACATTATTGCCCTACCCCTTGGCTTCTGGAAAATAGTATGGTCCTTAGTTTCAGAAAGTTCTTATTCTACCCATTATCACAGCATTAATAATAGGAATATAACACTTTCAGAAGTATTCCACTGTACAAAAATGTTTCTTTGAAAACAAGAGTTATTGCAATGGGATGGGATGGTGAGTTCCATATTTGCCAGTCTCCATTAGCTTTCTTTGATAAATAGAAGCGTATGTTGGCCCAGTGATATGACTTTTACAGTTGGATCCTTTGAATTGTAAGGAATGCAAACTTCAGAAATTAACAAGTGGAACTGTTGTACATAGTTTCCCTGGAAGTAAGTCTCACTAAACTCAGGGGGACTTATTTCTGAGAGATATGATTACATTGTAATATTTGACAATGATCTTTATAATACTGTAATGACAAGAGGAGTTTGAGATGAGAATATATAAATTAGCCAAACTATAAGAATCAGCTCAGCTTTTTGAATTGCAATCTTTTTTTGCATAGAAAAGTTGGATGAACCAGAGATGCATATTGGGAATACATGATCCTTTTACATTAAAAAAACGAAATAGTTCAATATTACTAACATGGGAAAAATTCCCTAGTTATTTCCAAAAGATTATAGATCTATTACAGTTTCTCAATTAACTGAGAAATTAGCTATAACCGCTTCTTTCCTGTGATGGAAGATTTCTTATGTGGTGACTTGCCTTTTTTGAGGGCCATATAAATTAATCTTGGGTTGAAGTTGACTCTCACTTATTTTTCATCCATCTAGGTACTTGATAAATCATGGGGCCAATGTTGCTGCTGTGAACAGTGAAGGTGAAGTCCCAGCTGACCTTGCAGAGGAAGCAGCCATGAAAGATTTGCTTTTGGAGCAAGTAAAGAAACAGGGTAAGGCAACTAAACATCACCTTATCATTAGATTTTGTTTGATGGATTATTTTTCCTTCTTCTTTCTTCAGGAACAGAGATACATGGCATAAAATACAGCTTACTTATTCTTAAATTTGGCTCCACATCTTATTATGTTTAGAAAGGGAGATAAATATTCTGAAAATATAAAAATAAAAAATATTGCAATTGTTGACTGTTAGGTGACTTACATTCCTAACACATATGTAGTAGGTGATTATTATAGAATGAGATTGTATGACAGACACATACATGTAAAACAAAATTTTGCCCCAACGTGTTGGTTTTGTGTGGAATACTTACAAAATGTACCTATCCCATAAGATCATCATCCATTCTTCTTGGCCAGCATATTTTTGACAATTGCAATTTGAACTCTCATTCACTCTTCTGTAATAGACATTCTAAGTATCCTCTGAAGAGGAGAAACTGAGCTTGATGACCGACATATGGAAAATGTTGCTTTGCATTTCATATGAAATTACAAAGGATAATTTTATATAGACAGCTAGTCCATAGACCTTTGAGAGATAGTTTACAGTTTGGTGATTGGCCACTTAATGTATAGGAAATATGGATGGTTGCCCAAAAGCTATAAAGAAAAGTACTGTGAAAAGTGCAGTTCTTCCCAATTACACAATGTTATCTTGGAAAGAAGCCAATTTGATTCTCTCCAACTGATAAAAAATTAAATTATTGGTGATGGTGTTTTAGGTGTCTACAAACTATTTGTTCCATTCATTTCTAAATATATTTAATTTTCTGTGAAATCTCTTAAGTTTTAGACAAAATGTGTGATTTTAAAAGTGACTCATAATATTTTTATACCATAATAACCAATATGCTAATTGGTTTATTCTTCTCCTGAACAAACTTAGTATAAAAAATAGTTCCAATCTCCCATAAAGATTCATATGAAAATATCTTGATATTGATAGAGAAACGCTGAAATAGATAGTTTCGACTAGTATGGGGTTTTGTTTTGTTTTTCATTTTCGGTATGTTAAGAATGTATCTTAAATTTCCCAGTAAGGAAACCTACTATATGCTTTTGAAGTGGGAATTTTAGTTGATTTATTTCACCCCATGAGATGGAAACTGGCTTTTCTATCACTGATTATAATTTTCTGCAAGTATTCCCTGCACAAGCATCTCAGCATTTTGTTGATGGTGAGGAATGATCATTGGCCATTGCTAACTAGCAATTGTGGCAGTTCTTCAGCATGACTTGAAAGCATCAGTAGAATTATAAAAAAGCTATGTCCCTAAGAGCAAAAAAAAAAAAAAGTTTTTAAAAATATGTAGCAAAAAAAAAATCTCTACTCCCATTGCAATAATGTGGATATTTACCTCCACTTCCCTTTTATCATTTTTTGTTCTACCTTGAGGTTTTTTTACACCTGCAGTCTGTTTCTCCAGGGGTGGATCTTGATCAGGCCAGAAAAGCAGAAGAACAACAAATGTTGCAAGATGCCCGACAGTGGCTAAATAGAAGGAAAATTGAAGAGAGAAAGCACCCTCGAACAGGAGCTACTGCTCTCCACGTAGCTGCAGCTAAAGGCTACTGTGAGGTGATGAGGTACTGATCTCTTTTCATTGTTTTCTTTACTAAACTATGGGAATAATTGCAACCAAAAAGAATTACATGGCTGGGTTCAAATATACTATGAGCCATAATTGTAGTTGGTTAACTTTTAGCTCATTTTGTCATTTACTGATATGATTTATATGGTTGCTCATCTCTTAACGGTGACTCTAGATAAGATTCAAGATTTAAAACAACAATAGCACATTGACATCCAAGCTTAAAATCACAAATCATTGAAAACCATCTTACCAGTACAGTTCATATAATCAAATCCTGGCCCAAATGCCTGGGAAAACAACCAGGTTTTCAGAACCTTTCAAAAAGCTTACAGGACTAAAATTCTAGAGAAATGCTGTTGTACAGAGCAAGTACTTCCACAGAGAAATTACCATAATATGACACAAATTGATGAAAGAAACTCAGAGCATCCCCTTCCTTCTGGCCTTAGTGAAACAGGCAGAAACTATGGGAAATTTAGGTAAACATTAGTAAAATATTAAAACCCAGTCATTGTGTTAGAATGTTATAAGATTGTTATGAACTAATGGGGTGGCACTCCTAATGCTCCCTCCCCTGTTGTTGTTTTTCTGTTTTAGTTTTGCTTCTATAGTTTTAAATGCTTTTAATAATTATTAGATAATAATGACTGTTCTACATTTCTCTTGTTTTACTGTATTGTTGTATGCTGCCCAGAGTTGCTTGTGAAATGGACAGCTGTATAAAATGCATTAATTAATAAAATTTCTGATTAGCATTTTCTACCTCCTGCCTTTGTTTCTCCAAGGAAAGTGGAAATAATGATGTTATTTGTTGCATGGGCTAGCCTTCCCTATTTATTTAGTGTATGGCATGCGCTACATGGATTGGCAATATATATTAAAATTTCACTTAGACTAGTAAAACACAATAAAACAAAAATTTAAAAGATCTATGTTCAAATATCAATGTCTAGCCAGATACTGGTAAATGCCCTCAGTTATAGCCTACTCTGTAAGAATGAGAGAAGCACTGAGTTTAATTTTATTTTCCTGTTTTTATGAAGTTAACTTTGACATCTTTTTTTAGGTAGTATTTTTTTTTAATGTATTGGTTATAACCAAGTAAAATTTTAGAAATATATTCAAATGCAATACAGGAATGGTGAAAAACTTTATTGAACAACATACTTCCTTTGTTCATTAAGTGGTCCTTTTTATAATTCAAAAGTAAAAATTAAAAATAAAGAGAAAAAGAGACAAAATAAAGCCCAACGATATTAAAAAGTAATAAGCAAAAAAAAAAAAGGAGTTCTTCAGGTTCTTCTCACCTTAATCCAATTAAAAGACCTCAAAAAATGGAAAATAGCCGTAAAAACAAGTCTAAAGTAGAGATAAAGAGGCAAATATCCCAGTAAAAAAAATAAAAACGAAAAGCAAATATTCTGAGGCTTCTCCTTTAAAAAAAATAAAAAAATAAGGTAAAATAAAAAATAAGTATACCAATATTACAAAATATTGTGGGGTTAGAGGGGAGGGATAAACCACTTAATAAAAAATAAAAAAAGAAAGCACACACTGACTTTTATTTATCCAAGGCTCTTATTTGGCTTCTCCACAAATTTCAAGGCCAAGCTTCAAATATTCAATTGATAATAGAAGTCCCAAAGAGCACCTGTATAAACATCCTCCAGAGCTCTTCCCTCTATCTTATCACTTCCAGTAGCCTTGAAAAGAATTTCTTTTCCCAGCTCTCAACTTCAAATAAAATATTTTCAAGCCTCTAGTTGGCAGTGTTGCAAAATTTCTTAAAACCTCTCCCCCTTTCCCCCCCTAAAAAAGCCTAAAAAAAAAGAAAAAGTATATATATATGTTTATGTATATTTTTTTAAAAAAGATACTAAAGGGAGCCTCTATTTTATATAATATAAACAGTCAAAAAGGGGGGGGAAAAGCAAGTAAATATAAAAGAAAAAACCAGTCTGATTAACTAGATCGCAATAGAAGTTCAATGAAGAGAAAAAAAAAGTAAAAATAAAAACCCAAGCCTCATTTTGACATTCTTAAAGAAAAAATCGCCGCTAAGTCAAATTTTGTCAAAAATTTTACAGATTCCTTCTCATTTTAGGGTGTCCTTAAGTCCCAAGTAAAAAAAAAAAAAAGAATCCTCACCAGCCGATACACTTTCTCTTTGTCTCTTCCTTCCGGAGCTGTCCCAACTTCAGCAGCTTAATGGCTGCCTCCCTGCCGATGGTAAAAGGGCTTCTTCTGGATCAACCAGGGACTTGCGATGTCCCTGGGATCTACAGAAGCGCCCCTTACTATCACCGTCTCTACGGGACGGTTTAGGTCCGTTGGAACCGACCAGGAGCGGGGATATCAGCTGTGATCTCAGAGCCCTGAGATAGCAGCTGTGTCGCAGCGACGAGGCTCCGCCTTCTCCCATTAAGTGGTCCTTTTTGGGGAAGTAGAACCTTTTGATCTCAGTTTTTGAAAGCTTGCTTTGTGTATTTACCAGTGCTGTGTGAACCATTTTACAGTAATACATGTTTATTCCTTATTTTTATTCCTTTATTACTTTCATTCAGGAAATGTCATATGTTTTATATTTGAACATTTCATAGAACTAGAATGACTTCATTGACTTTTCAGAGACATCAGTACTAAGAGATCCAGGAATCTCTGAAATTTATTATTTTTATTGGTGGCACAATGGTTAGAGTGCAGTACTGCAGGCTACTTCTGTTGTCTGCCGGCTGCCTGCAATTTGGCAGTTCAAATCTCACCAGGCTCAAGGTTGACTCAGCCTTCCATCCTTCCGAGGTTGGTAAAATGAGGACCCAGATTGTTGGGGGCAATATGCTGACTCTGTAAACCACTTAGAGAAGAGGGCTGTAAAGCACTAGAAAGCGATATATAGGTCTAAGTGCTATTGTGCCTTGTAAGAGATTTTGCAGTGACATGGAAGGGTGCTGAGTTCTAGTTCTTTACAATAATTCCTTCTAGGCTGACTTACTTGATTTTAGATTCTTTTCAAACTAATGGGATAGCAATTTTGACTTGATTTATGCAATACTGATGTCCTTTGGAACTCACCTCCAGTTGAAGCAATGCTGCAATTGTATATGTGTCCTGTACCATTTATTAAATTCATTAATATATAGGCCATTTGTGGGGTAGTAATAAGAAAGTAACATTAACTGTCACTTGAAACAAAATAACTTGTCTCATCCTTCCATCTGTCAGTGTTGGAGAACAACTGTCTCACTCCAGAGGGGATATCAAATGAAGAATTAGCATTGACTTGTTACATAAACACAAGACAGCAAGGCCCTGACTCCTTCTTGAATACCTTTGAGCCTTATGTAGTCTTTCCCAGATAAATCTGCCAGTCTGGGAAGATTCCTATGAACTTGGCATAGAGCAATAAAATAGCTAGTTTAAACTCTACATGTGTGCCAGTTTAAACTCTACAACTTCAAAACAATGCCTCTCACCTTCCACCACTTGCAGACTACCCAGAAGGATTTGTGATGGAATGTAGTCTGGATTCCCAGGAGAGCGGGACTGCTTTCCAGAGGACAAAGAAGTGGAAAAGCTTAGAAAGTTCCTTTGACATGAAGAGGGTTAAAATGACGCCTCCCTAGCTATTCCCAGGGTATATCTGTAGTTATGCGAATAGTAACTTGAGGCTGGCAAGATCCTGCCTATAGGTGAAGAACAATAAAAGAAACTACACTTAAGTAACTTCACATGTCATTCTTGGTTCATGGGGTCTGGCAGGATTGATGGTAATATCATTCTCTTCTTACCAAAGACATTCACTACTTGAATCTAACACTTCTTCCTCCATGGCATATTACGATATGTGAATCTAGATTACACATTGCAGAATTCACTCACAGAGGATGCTCTTCATTTTATCAAGTTCCCAGAATTAGACAAATCTCAGATGTTATCACAGGATGCCATCTCTTCGGAGTCCAGCCAGCCAGCCAGTGTTTCTGTAATGATCTGCAATGAAGTGCTTCGAAGTCTAAGTAGTCAATGCTAAACTCTTTTGGCCCATTTGTGTCCAAAAGTGGCAATGCGGCTGGATGGCATTCCACGAATACAGTAGATACCAAGAAGCACCAACTTTTTGCTACACTTATCATCATAGTTTAGACTCAGATATGAGTTCAGTGTACATCACGGCCAATTGTATTTGTTATTTGTTTTCTGCAGCATTACTTTATATGCCCTTTCTTTTGATTTATCTCCCAGAACATCCCAATCAGCAGACAGGAAGAGGCCACTTGAGAACTGTCCTATCTAGTACCCTCATCACGCTTATATTGCATTTAGTTAGGTGCTCAGTAGAATTGTCTGTTAAATTGCCTGTTCATTTCCTAAGCACCCTCTGAAAGCCAAGTGGGCCATTTTAATGATCCCTGAAGAGTTTGGTGGGACTAACAAATCATGATTATAAGAAAGTAATCTGACCACGGCAATGGGTTTACTACAATACTGTCTGCTATCAGGACCCCATTGGCTTTGATTTCAAGACTAGATCCAGAATATGTGAATTGGACCTGTTATAATCTGGATTGATTTTAAACCATGATTGTCATGGTGGCCATGAAATCCTAAACTGCATCTGACTTATCCCCAGGTTATGCTAAGAAAGACTCGATCCAGAAGAAGGAACAACTAGAGAGAAAACATTTAGAGCAACCCTTGGATTTAATTTTAGACATGGCTGGAGATGACCTCTGAGTATATTTGTGCTGAACTGCAATTAAATTAGACCATGGTGGGCTAAATAATTCTGTCATATAAGATTAATTTATGATAATTTTAAATGTTATTGTGCTGAAATTAATCCACAAGATAATGCCTCTGCTTCAGCTTTGGCTCATTGTTCTGACATTTGCTTCTGTTTGTCTAAAGCATTTCCTAAAAATCTGCACTCTCTTTTTATCAGATTCTTCAATTCTATCTGTAAGGTCGCTCATTAATTACCACCATCATAAGGAAGAAACTATTTTACCCTTTACCTTAAACTTGGTTTCTTTTTTTACCATTTAGAGCTGTCTACTTGATCACACTAATCTCTTTTATGGGATAAGCTTCATTCACAAAGCCACTGCATGCTGCTTACAATGTCTGCTAACTGAATTGCTGCCTTCTTTACTATTTTTTCCTTAGACTCTTGATCCAAGCTGGGTTTAATGTAAATGTTCAGGACAATGATGGATGGACACCACTCCATGCTGCTGCACACTGGGGGGTGAAAGAAGCTTGCACTATCTTGGCTGAAGCACTCTGTGATATGGACATCAGGAACAAACTGGTTAGTGAGTCCTAGACTAGCAGTATATCATAAATACTCCAGAGAAGAAGGAAGGTTTTTTTTTAAAAAAAAAAGTTGACTGTGAGCTAAACAAGCTTTAAAATTGATTTATGTTATTATAGTATCACTGGTTAAAAAAAAATTAAAATACCATCACCCACCAAGAGGAGTGGTTGTGGTGTCATGGTCAAGAGATGACTTCAAATATTGAGATGCAGCAAGGAAGAGAGAAGTGAAGAATCTGAGAATGAAAAGGCTGCACATATCCAGAATCACCAGGAAGGGTGCAGAGTAAGGAAGCAAGAAAAGATGGAGGAGGAAAGGGAAGATCAACTGAGTATGTGACAAATACTAATTACTGCAGGAGTTCATCAATATGACAATACCTGCCTTCAACAAGACCTCAACAGTGAAAGAGTGAGGCCAAATGCCTGACTTGCACAATGTAATATTTTTGTTGATATTAGCACCATTGGCCAAAGAGTCTATGTCACTGTCATTCTGCCGGTTTCTACTGCATATAGGGAAAAGTCAGGATAGATAATTGGCATTCTCCATCTTATGAACTCCTCAATTAATGTAGCAGTGATAAATCTATTGTCTTGCTACTCAACTTTCTTCTTTAGCAAAAAGGTATTTTCTTCTTTAACTTTAAAACCCAAACAGTAGCAATCCACCATGGTCATTCCGTTCCTCTGTTAAGGTAAGGAAGTATCTCCAAAAGGATGACCTAATGGGGCATGTCTAGCATACTGCTAAAGCTCTTGTGTGTTTGATGGTTTGTAACCCGCAATTGGGTCAAATTGTGCATTATATGATGACAGTTTTTGACAGAATGCATCCAAAATCTGGGACCCATGTCTTCAGAGAATTTGAAATTTGGCAAAGTTAGTCAGTGCTACTATGCTGCTGCGCTGCCTTGGTCAGCTGAGGTCACGTGACCAGGATTCCCAACATGCCCTGCCAGCTTCCTACAAGGAAAGTCAATGGGGAAGCTGGCAGGAAGTCACTACCTTTTTTGCCCACTTAAGGTCATTCTGTTTCTCTGTTTAGGTAAGGAAATATGTCTGAAATGATAATGGGTCATGGGTTGTCTAATTTAATATTAAGATTAGCACAGGCATAATCTTTAACCAGGGATTAATATGGAGAAATTGTCACAGAAAAAGATAAGATTGGAAATTGGGTTAGGAATATTGTATCTGCTGTAATTCAACTGATACAATTTATAATTTTGATAATATTACTGAACCATTTTTTTTATTGGTCGTAACAGTATATGATATTTTGTCCTCCCAATATGTCTAAATAGCCATATATTTCCAGCTCTATAATTATATCTGGCTATATGATGAAAAATACATAGTAAAATATAAGCTAATTTGGCAACTAGGACAAGTTAAAATACATGGAAAGCATTTCTAAGAAAAAAGAGTTAACCTTGAAGTTTTTGCCACTTCTTGCTAAATAGTTTTGCGTATTTTTAAATTTGTTTTTCACAAAGAAATTAAAAAATCTTTTTCTCATGTTAAAGAAATGCCAAATCCAGAATAAATGTTTGCTGTTGTTGTACATGCCTTTAGGGTCAAACACCGTTTGATGTTGCTGATGAGGGATTGGTTGCACACTTAGAGATGCTGCAGAAGAAACAGAATATGGTAGGTTCTGTGTACCCCTCTTAATCAAAGAACTTTTGTCCATATTCTTATGATTTCTTAGGTAGTGGAATGCAATGAAGTGTGCGTTTTGTGATAGTTACATATGAAAGCATAAACGTTGACTGAAGTAATAACATTAGATAAAATTACTTTTTTGATTGAGTATGTGCCATCAAGTCATTTTTCTTAGTGACCACAGAGATAGATATTTTCCAATGCAATCTGTCCCTAACCTTCAGATCTTCCACTTATCACCACTGTAACTAAGTCCATCCACTTTGCTGCTAGTCATCCTCTTTTCATTCCTTCCACCTTTCCTAGCATTAGAGTCTTTTGTGGGGAAGTAGCTTGCCACATGATATGTTACAAGTTAGGATAATCTGAGCCTGATCGTACTCAAGTGATAATTCTGACTTGATTTGTTCAGTGTTTCATATGTTTGTTTTCTTGGCTGTCCACAGTATTCTCCGGAGTCTTCTCTGACACCAAACTTAAAAGCCTCAGTACGTTTCATATGCCGCCTCTTTGAAGTTCACTTTTCATTTCCATAAAGAGTCATAGGGAGTAGACCCATCACAATGTTCAACTATCTTTTCATGGCTGCTATAAAAGAAGATGAATGTGAATTTAAAATGGCCTGCCTCCCAAGGAAGTGTGTGTGTGTGTGTGTGTGTGTGTGTGTGTGAGAGAGAGAGAGAGAGAGAGAGAGAGAGAGAGAGAGAGAGAGAGAGAGAGAGAGAAGGAGAAATACAGATATGCACTGCTCATTTTCTCTATATTGCAATTATGGATCACCAATCCAAACTTCATGATCTGAGAGCCTGACATTAATGGGGGTGGGGTGGGGTGAGGGAGATAGGAATGTAAGGAAGGAGAGGGGGTGAATCCTACTCAGGCAGGAAACCCTATACCATGTCATAAAATGGTTGTCCAATCTCTTTAAAACCTCCAGCGTTGCAGCATTCACAACTTCTGGAGGCACATTGTTCCACTGATTATTTGTTCTAACTGTCAGGAAATTTTCCTTAGTTCTAAGTTGCTTCTCTTCTTTATTACACCATTGCTTCTTTTTCCTACCTTGATGCTTTGAAGAATATTCTACCTTCAGATGCTTTGGAAAATATTGGTTCTTTGGTTTCATATTTCAAAAGCAGATTATTATGAGGTACTGGGGTTGGACTGCCTTGATGTTTTTGTTGTGAAAAACTTAGTGAGGGACTCAGTATGGTTGTTTCATATGTATCTCAGTTTTATATATTTATCATAATAAATTCTCACTACTTTAAACAAAAAGGACTTAAGTGCTTAAAAGAGTTGCAATTCTGCCATTTGCCTATACTGACATGCTGGACAATAAGAACAGCAACAGCTTATTAATATATTTTTCTAATTACCTTTTTGACAGCTGCGTAGTGAAGAATCAAACAAATTAATTGAAGCTGATATGAATGGTAAAGTTCAAAGTGGACTTTTCAAAAAGTAAGATTCTCTGTCCAAAATGGTTTTGTGTTTATTGTGAAATTTGATGTTAAATTAATGGGGTGGAAGAAGCAAGCACTAGAGGTTGAAGCATAAGACTAGAATCCAAGAAACTTGATTCAGTTCCCCATCCAGGTGTGGATCTCACTAAGCGGGTTTGGGTCAGTCATTATTTCTTAGCTCAGCCTACTACAGCAAATAGTTCTTAAGAGGAATAAAGTAAGAGGGAATTCCCATATATGATGCCTTGACTTCCTTGAAAAATAGTAGAATATAAATGAAGTAAATTAGTATAATTTAATTTGAGCTTCTAAAGTTCAAGTGCTTAAACAGGTTTTTTTTTTTGTTTGAAGTTATGCTTAGTTTTTAATGCTGTTTTATCAAAACTATTCTGTCTCCAGGCCTAGAACTATTCATAATCTGTGGTATTGAATTTCAGTACTCTGTTGATGTGATTCTGAAGAAACTGGCCAACTTCTTTTTAAAAACCAATTTTCCCTTCAAGTAGCTTTCTCTTCCTGTCCCATTGTATTCAAAAAAGCTATAAACTTGTGATACTGAAACGAGGGCCATAATTTTAATAAGTGGAATTAGTCAATCACTCTACTTTTTTGCAGAAATTATTTTATTTGTGGCAATCTTACATTTTCAATTTCTTAACCCATTTAGTTACTTTGATTTTTTGTTGTTCCAAATACTTTTCTTGGTTTTTACCTTAGCAAAGAGAAGATTATTTATGAAGCAGATACTTTGAAATCATTAGAGACCGAAGAAGAGAGCAAGGAATCTAGTAGTTCCAGCTCTGAGGAAGAAGAAGAAGCTGAAGAAGAGGAAGTTTCAGAGTCAGATGCTGAAAAGGAGGCAGGTAATATATTTATTTATTTAAATAAAAAGTAATATATTTAAAACAGATATTCTTTTCCTTTTTTTGAGCAATTTCCAATTCTATGAAGCTGCACTGTTGAAGTTATTTTCAAAACTTTTATGTAAGCCTACAGCTTTAGATAGTCAGTTCAAATACAGAGTGTTGTTAGTTAAGATTGGTAACAATAACTTGCAATGTGAAATCCCTATTTTTAAAACTCCAGACAGTTATCCATCCCATTTCCCAGGTTTCTATCCCTATTTTTCTGTACCCACCAATGGCATTCCATTGCCATTAAGTAAATTTAAACCTGTTTGCTCCCCTTTGAGAGTTTTTTCTTATGACAGTAACCTAGTTACACTTAGTCCACTTAGTTAGTAATCTAGTCTATTCTGTTTACTAGCAATTCTGCCTCAGTACAATCACATTAACAGGTCCTGGTGATGGTTTCTTTTCCGAGCTTACTATTGAGCTTCTGAAAGTTTTGTCACCAGGCTAGATGATCTCCTCAGCAGGGCTTTGGTTGAAGCATCTTGTTTCAGTTCTTCTCTGCTTTTATTGATCTCATGTGGTCATGTGGTTGGTGAGTTATGTGACCAGCTAGTTGCTTGCTTGATATAGCTCCTTATGGGTGCATAGTCAACATGTTTGTTGATAGATCCATTGGTTGAATACCAGGGTTTGATAAATTTGTGTGCATGGCATGTGGTGGCATGGCCCATGAGTTTTGTTCTGTCCACCACATGCCATGAATGCAGATTCATTGAAGCCTGGTATTCAGCTAACAAATATATCAACAAACATATTAGGAGCCTCAGTGGCGCAGTGGTTAGAGTGCAGTACTGCAAGCTACTCCTACTGCAATTTGGCAGATCGAATCCCACCAGGCTCAAGGTTGACTCAGCCTTCCATCCTTCCGAGGTGGGTAAAATGAGGACCCAGATTGTTGGGGGCAATATGCTGACCCTGTAAACTGCTTTGAGAGGACTGTAAAGCACTATAAAGCGGTATATAAGTCTAAGTGCTATTGCTATTGCTATATCAATTTGGAGCCAGCTTACAAACCCATAAGGAGCAGTATCAATTGAGCAACTAACCAACGACGGCACTGACTACCTCTTTACCTGGTGACCTTCACACATAATGACCAACCAGTCACATGGTATGACCAGCCAGACACACGATCCACTAACCACATGACCACATGGATCAATAAAATCAGAGAAGAACTGAAATAAGAGGCTTCAACCAAAGCCCCGCTGAGTGTATCACCTAGCCTGGTGATGAAACATTTGGAAGCTAAACATCAAGCATGGAGAACAAACCACCAGCATCTATCATCCAAGATACAAATATTTTCAATCACTTTGCATTAACAGAGTCAAGAATCAGCATCTATGGAATACAAAGGATTGTGAAACTTCACAAGAGTTTGTAGTTTGAATGCAGGAAAAGCTGTTCCAAGTTTGAAAGAGGCTGCTTTCTGCTTTGGAAGTGGTCTAGGTTTTTTAAAATGTAAATGCCGGAAACAGCAATTTCATGGAGGTTCATATTTGGAATGATTTTATACTTACCTTCAAAGTCCCCACCCACTTTCTTTAGAAAGATCTTGGCGTTTCATAATTCATTAATCAGGAGAGCATTGGTGACATTGATTCATTGCATCCCTAGCCCCTTCTTCTTTGGTAGGCAGATAGCAAGTAATGCTCAAATCTATTGAGCAGTCACAAATAAACATACTTCTTCACATAGTAAGTGACTGCTTATAGTAGTGGGTGTGTGTGTGTATTTTCCTGAAAAATTACTCAGCTTCCTTCGCTTTTCTTTGATACATTAGCAGCTTTTGAATGCTAATGGTGCTGCTGCATAAATTTAGGAGACTTCTATCTACATATTTTTCTAGATTATAAATTGGAAGACTGCACAAGATATATTGCTGCAGTGCAGCATTATATTAGGATTTTGTTCTACTAATTGTAGCATCAAAACAAGTAATTCCTCAGTATACAGAATTAATGGCAAAAACCTATGGTTTGGATATACATAATTTATCAGTCCCATCTCTGAACTCCTAATTTGCGCCTGCCTAAGCAGGGAAATGTTGGTGCTATTTGTCACCTTCAAAAATTATTTTACAGAAGTAGATAAAATGGTCAGGAAGTTATTATTTTAATAAAATAAATATAAGTTTCATTTAATTATTGTGATCCCTTTTTAACCTTGTTTCAACTAGTATCTGGCTGGCCAATATTCATTGTTGATATCAACTTTCAGATATACAGCATTAAATGCATGCATGCCAGAATTTCCTGCAGTTTCATACTGGGCATTCACATTTCATGTGCATCTTCTGAAACAGTACTTTTAATATGAAGGCCTTAATATATTTTGTGTGGTGTGCTGTTTGCTGGGGTTTTTTGTGGGGTAGGTAGGCAGGAGGATTCATGTATACCTGACTCTGGTATTTAGATTTGGGCAGTTTTGCCTTCACCTCTTAGCCCAGGATGATTGGAAGCTTTCTGCATTCCCAGAAGTTTGTACCTGACAAATTGTGCTCTTTCTAAAGGCCTGATGAAGATCTCTTTTAAAGGTATAAAGTTCCATCTAAAATAGACAAAGTACATGACCCACAAAAATTCCCTTTTCATTCATGTACAAATCTCTAAACCAGTTTCAAATGATTTTTTTTATCTTAAATTCAAGCACAGCAATTCTTTAATGATTCAGTCATGACCTAGATTAAAATAGTTTCACATTTATTTAAATTTGGGGTCACAGTCTTCAGACTGAATGAATGAAGTTATTAATTCCTCCACTTTTGTAGCCCTTTCTAAAATAATGTGTGGAAAATCAGTAAGTACTGTATTTTAGAAAACTACTGGTCCACAGTGGCAACATTTCGTTCAGACTATAGGAAAATGGCTTTTTAAATACATACTGATTAACATACAGTAACTCAAATGGGCATATATGTTTAACTGCAGCATCGCTCAGTTAAATCTAGAATTATTGTAGAATGTCTGCAAATCTTTCACTCTCTGCCTCCCATCTTCTTAGAGAGCAAAGAAGAGTCTGTTGCAAACCATTCCAATCATGAATCCAGAATTCTCATCACAGAACAAACACCACCCCCAGAACATAACACTTTTACGATGGCTCCTGCTAGAAAAGTAAGTAGACAGTGACTTAAAGTAAGGGGTTAGAGGTTAAATTTAAAGTTTTATCCTATGAAGAATGACTTCTTAAATTCTATTAAATGAAACTTACTTTGTGTAAACATTGAAAGAATGAATCTATGTTCTATTTTGATAAAGCATAGTTAAAACCTGTTGCAGTACTGTGGTAGATAATCATCAAGAACTGACTTTGAGTTGATCAACATATTTGATGCTATTTGTTTTGAATCAAAGCAGTTATTTCCTATTCTTCTACAGTTTAATCAGCAACATAATTACCAGAAAAAATATAGTAAATATGCTTATTTTGTATACAGTTAATTTTATACAGAAATATCAGACTGCAGGGGGTTTCTTTTGCAAAAAAAAAAAGCCTGGTCTTAAATGGGTTCATGTCCTCAATGGTGTTAAATTCATTATTTGTTAATGTGTTGACTTTGAAAAAATCAAACTCCGTAGATCAAAAACATGTTTTTTTTCTTAATATAAATGCAGCTGTCTTCATCATTACACTGAGCCATGGTGGCGCAGTGGTTAGAGTGCAGTACTGTTGGCTACTTCTGCTGACTGCCGGCTGCCTGCAATTTGGCAGTCCAAATTCCACCTGGCTCAAAATTGACTGAGCTTTTCATCCTTCCAAGGTGGATAAAATGAGGACCCAAATTGTTAGGGCAATATGCTGACTCTAAACCACTTAGAGGGCTATAAAGCACTGTCAATTAGTATATGTCTAAATGCTATTGCTTTTGCTATTCCTATTGAAGAATACAGATTTAAGAAAAAGAGAAAAGGGTAAACAAAAATGATAAATAATGAAAAGGAAAAAAAAGAAAAATATAAAGAAGAAGCTCCTAATCTCCTTTTACAATAGTTATAAATACATTTATCATCTATTCTACCACTTTAAAGTTACATTATGATTCCCTTTTTTCCACCTATCACCTTTTGTAATCATGAGATCATAAATCACCAATTCATTTTTTCCGTTTCAGCAAAAAGTCCATAAAGAATTCCTAGTCAGTAATAAATGTACCTGTTATCTAAGGTATTTTCATCACAGTTGAATTCCTATTGAGTGTAGTACGTGCCCAGTCAGATTGGAAGAATTGACCTCCCCGACATTAATTTAAACCATTAGTGAAATGTTTCTAATATTTATATTTTCATTATGATGTTGTTTTTGTTATCAGGAGCTTTGATGGTCAGTGATATAAGAAGTAATATATGTGTAATATGTACGAATGCATGAAAAATTTGCTGCTTGTTCTGCATGCTGAGTTCTAAGAGAGATTATTAGACAGCTGTTACATTGTTTGAAGTTGTTTTTATATTATGTCCAACTGAAAGCACTGTAATCAAGACATAGTTTCTGCAAATGTTCATATAGGACAACATTGATAATCCTTTGAATTGTAACTATCTTACAGTTGGCACTACATTATATGTTGCAAAAGTCATTCTGAGGGAGCTACTGTGTTAGAATAGCTCAGGCATAGAGTTGAACATATTAATATTTATTTTTCAGTAAACCAGAACAAATAGATTGGAAGAAATTAGTGTTAATTTCCTGGGGATAAAAGTGAGCTGTGTGGTGCTATATAAGTACATTTCATTAAATAGGATAAATTAGTTTGAATGTAAGGTATTGAAACATTTGTTTGAATGTAAGGTTTTAGTTAAAAATTAAAAATGTTCCTCCATCTTGGGAAATTATTAACTATTGAAAAAGGGGCTGTGTTTAATGTTATTGCTCTTTGGAATCTATGCAGAGATATTTCACTGGAATACAGTGAAAAATTTGCATGACTTTGCAGTGGATTTTCTTAAAACATATAGGAGCAACTATCACTTGCTCTTTTGATATTTCCAAAACATTCAACTGCCATAAAGCAGAAGATGACACCTCTGTGAGTCAAACATACAGAAGCTTGGGAAGCTACAAATGAGTAGGGATCCATCTGAAAAATGAAAAGGTTGAGTGCTATGAAAAACCAAGTTATTAAAACATCTCACTCCTCTATATTAATTAGTAATTAATAAATAGCCAATTGCAGCTAAACAAGGATATAATTTTGGTTAGACTGCAATATGGGCTATAGGGTTGATTGGCTATAGGGATGATAGGCTGTAGGAATCATTTTCAAAACATCCTATGACTGTATATTCTCTGCAGTTGCTGAGAATTTTGCATCAGCTAGCCAATGCTCTCTCCATCTGATGAATAGGAGAATGGAAAAATCAACATCCCGCCAGTCCCCTGCCTTCAGGTTTTGTCTTTTATGTTATGCTTCATTTGTGAAACAGGGATTAGGGTTTTTTTCCCTTTCTGTTTAACAAGCTGCTCAATGTAGTGGAAGCTGCAAAGCTGCTGCTCCATGAATTTAGGATGCTGAATGGAACAAAATCAGAATTTATTTATATAGAGGTGGCATGATTGTTCCAAGTATATTCCAAGTTAGATAAGCATTCTTTAAAATATTATTGATAATCAAAAGACAAACATTCTGAGATTGAAGTTTGATTTTATATTTATATTGCCATCTCTTATTCTTTATGTGGTAGCAGAATGTGTTAGACATTTGACAGCAGGTATTACACTTAACCTTGTATTTACCCAGTGATCACGAACACTGGTCATGAACGAATACCATTCCATGAACATAGAAAATGTTCCATTATTACATAATGCATGTATAGCTTGTCTCGGAGTCTTAGCAGACTTTTTCCTCCCATTTTGTTTAAGATTCACTAGTTACTTTATTGTCCTTTCTCTCTGTCCAATTGTCAACTATATATTTTTCTTTTTTTCTCTTTCAAAGTTCTTTTAGTTCCTGCCTTCCGTTTAAGGAATTGGCCAGTTAACTATTTACTCACATTCTAACAAAACAATTTCAGACACTTTCAAGATGCTACATTGGTTTAGCCAGTGGCTTATAATTTTAGGCATAAGCCCTGAGTTATCAATTACAATAAGAGGGGAGAGCCAAGGACTAATAGACAGGCTGACCGACATGGAGATACCTGCTAATGGAAATGGCCTACTACAAAGCAACAATGCTGATAGGGTTGTATATACTGTATATATTTTGCAGTAGTTTCCTAGGCACTGCAACAGAGCTGCAGTTAATCACTTCTGCTGGCCAATATTAATAACAGCACGTAGCCTTGCAAGCATATTATGGGATGGTTTAAATGCTGCATGTGGAGTTGCCGCTTAGAAACAGAAGAGCAAAAATGAAAGTTGAGCATTCACTTCAAAAGCATTTTACTATTCTTTAGTATGTCAGAATTAAGATACAGGTAGTCCTCAACTTATGACCACAATTGAGCCCAAAATTTCTGTTGTTAAGTCAGACATTTGTTAAGTTAGTTTTGTCCCATTTTATGACCTTTCTTGCCACAGTTGTGAAGTGAATCACAGTAGTTGATCAATTAGTAATCCAGTTGTTAAGTGACTCTGGCTTCCCTATTGACTTTGCTGGTCAGAAGGTTGTAAAAAGGGATCACCTGACCTTTGGATACAGCTATGGTCATGAATATGAATCAGTTGCCAATCATCCGAATTTTGATCACATGATCGTGGTGATGCTGCAAAGGTCGTTACTGAAAAACATTCATAAGTCACATATTTCAGTGCTGCTGTAACTTTGAACGGTCACTAAACGAACTGTTGTATGTCGAGGACTACCTGTATTTCCTGATGTCCTTCATCTGCCTCCAGTGTCTACTATGCACTAATCGTTTTATTTTCACTTTGAATGATATTTCTTTCCAAATATTGTAATTTACTTTCTTACCGATCATGGTCAGAGTCTATATCTTTTTGCGATTTGTACTCCAGATTCTAGTCTTATAGAAATCAGGAATATTCTGTTTCTTTTTCACATGCAGAATTCTATTTAGAGATTGACTTAGGCATGCAAATTCAGCAATCTACTCGTATCGATTGGAGTTGAACAGTCAATACATTTAAAATAGTCACAATAGTAATACTAATACTAATAATATATCACATGGGATTTGGGATCAGCTCAGATTTAAAACATGGCTTACCATGTGACATCTAAAAACTATTAAACAAATTAATTTAAGCACTCCAATTGGAATGTGGCTATTTAGACACTAATTGGATTACAGTATAAATTAATTTAGTGCCTCTGATTTATTTAGGTGATGTTGAAATGCTTGGTAGGGGTTGAACTTTTAGCTTAGATTAAACTGTCTATTGGAACCTAACTATTGTTTATAGTGCCTCTGCTATGTATATTACAACTTGTTTTGTGCATGAGTCAGTCTCTCACTTCTAAAACAAACAAAAAATCACAGTAATATGTTTAAACACGATTGATTAAAAAGCACTAACATGGACAAATTAACATTTTAGAGTTGGTGTGGGTATACGTGTGGGTGGGGAACACACACACACATTTACAAATGTAGGTATGATATTTTCTATAAATTTAATCAGAAAATATATTTTGATACCATTGTTTTGGCATTTAAGATGCAATTGTTTTGTCATTCAGTAGAATGGCTTATCCTAGAGAACATATATGTCTTTCTCAAGCCAGCATGCACTCTGGAGCTCCCCTTTGCAGTAAATTTAAAGCATCTGTGAGGTAGAAAGGGATCGTTTTAGTTGCACAAGAGAAGACAAACTCTTAGAACTGAAAAGGGCCATTCCAGCCTTTGAATCTAAGCTGCTGTTTAGTACAGGAATTCAAGTGAAACATGGCTGGTTAAAGTCTGCTTAAAGACATACAGGAAAGGAACTGCTACCTCTCTGAGTCATTGTTCTCTTGTTGACACTGTCATAGTATTGGAATAAGGTAATTGAGGGTTTTCCTAATTATGCCCTCAAGCCACTCTTTCTACCATCTTTTACAGTGTAGTTCGTTGCTCAACAAGCCTGAGGAACAAAAAGATGAATCACCATCATCATGGAGGCTAAGCTTGCGGAAAACTAGCAGCCAAAATGCACTTAGTGGGGACAGCGCGCCCTGTGACACTCTCAAAGAGAAAGGCAGCTCCATCTATTACTCTTCTTCAACCCCTCGGATATCTGCACTATTAGATAACCAAGAGAAGGTACACAATAATTTGGCTTCCCTGACTTTGAAATCCATGTTTTGTAAACTAAAATATTGCTGAATAATCTAATTGCTGTTTTGTTTTGTTTTTGGTATAGTGTCATACTTGTTAACTAGAATTAGGATTTGCTTTTTCTGTCATACAAAGAGTGACTTAAAATCCATTTGAGGAATGAAACCTATGATAGATTGTTATCCTTCAACTACTAACACTTTTTCTTCACTTTAAATTATGAACACAGATTATATTGATGCTGACCTTGACCATGGTCAGTGCTATGCAGCATTTACTTCTAATTGTAGCTCCTCTGTAGATTGATTCAGTTCTAATGCCATTGGTCTTGGAAAAGGCAGTGATGTGCTCTGTTTGAAAAAGCCATTCCTGGATCCAAATGTCTTAGATAATTTCTGTAGTTGGTACTTGGTCTCCAAGTAAATGGTTTCTGGATGAGTTATACCATCTATTAAGTAAGGTCTGGCTATTGATCACTTTTGTGAATGGCCTTTGGTAGAACTTGGGGAAGAAGGGGTTGAGCCCTTAGACATTCCAGTGTTGGGTGGTCCAGGGTACTGGTCTCTCCCCATCTTACTTAATGTCTTCATGAAACTGCTGGTTTCATCAACATATAAAATGTAAATTATGGGTTTGAAACTAGCTTCATATCCTGAAATGTATGAGATAGAAAAATGATACATTTTTTTTGTACAATTATACAAAAGTGCACAATTCCAAAATACTTTGGGGGAGTAAGAATTGAGACAATACTGTAATGGTTTTATACACAATTACCAGTTCAAATTTGGTAAGCAGTTAATTTCAAACAGTGTATTTCATAATTGTACATCATTTTTCAGCCGCTGTTTGAGATAATTATTTTTTATCCAAAAATTTGCTCTAATTTAGGAATTTGTTCTTATTTCGGCAGGACAAGGATAATAAAATCTATTTTGCTTCAATATCCCCTCGAAGATTAAATAATACAGGTGACATTGAAGAAAAGGAAAACCGGTAAGAGCCTTTCAATAATGGCCCTAGATTTATAGGAGTAAAATGTTCACAGTATGAACTGAATCTGTGGGACAGTTTTAGATCAGAATGCGATTATAGTTGAAATACTGCTCTTATAGACTGCCTGCATATTTTTCAATGTAGTAGGTGACATACTCAGTCCCAGCAAATTCTGCTTGTTAACAGGTTGTTGCTGTCCCTTCTTTGTTTTTAATTTATTATGCCAACTGAATGCAGCTTAGCAGAGCTGCTGAACAGAACAATTCAGCACACCACTCAGTTGATTTAGCAGATTAAAAATGAACCACAGGATATTTTTGGCTTGTATAGGTGAAGGGAGGAAGATTTTGATTGTGTTTGTGGCTAAACCACGCAAAACAGAATTTCATCATAACAATCTTTGTGTCTTATCATAGATTGTCAGAATTGAAGAATATGAAACACAAAATTGTAATTACCCCCCTCTCTGTTCCCACTTTGCCATTTTAGAGAATCTGCTGTTAACTTGGTACGGAGTGGTCCTTACTCTCGCCAACAATGGAGGGAGGAACCAAAGGGGAATGAAGCCCCTACAACTGCTGCACCTTCCACCTACATATCTACCTTTATGAAAAGGTAAGATGTATTTAAAACTTTTGGTGGAAAAGCATTCAAGGTTGCATTAATTTTAAACAGTTGAGCAAAAATTCTGACTGCCATAAAACTAGAAAAGAAGAAAACCAAGATAAATGATGTTTTAATTTTTTTCTACATGAAAAACTTTTATCCATATAAAAATGTATCTTGTGAAATATAAGAAATAGAAGAAAGTATTATTTTAATCTAAAACTGTAGTGGAGGTTGAATATCATTGTGGAAATACTGAACATTTTGTTTGTTGTGTGCTATGCAAATTAGCATGATACACTTTTGTCATTTACTTTGAAATAATTAAAACCTGGAAAGCAAATATGCAGACATTATTACAAATAGAAAAGGGGTTATTTGAAAGAAATTGCTGATCAATAAAAGCAGTAAGATCATATTAATCTTACAAGCAAGCAATTGAATACATATATACTGCTGTAGCTATAATTCAAATCATCAATAGAAATTTTATGTATGTTATGATATTATCTCAACATTATTGCAGTCTGGGGACAAGCAATATATGAGAGGTCAGGACCTGCAGTTCAAACATCTGGATAATTGTAGGAGTTATCCAGGATCTTTTGGATAAACCTGGAAACGGCTTGGCCATTTTTTTTAGCCTAGGTGATTTTAAAAGTAGGGTTGAAAACCATAACGTTTTGGCAGCAGTATGAGAATGAGCTGAAAATGTGGCATAGATATGAGGAATAGTTACGTTAGATAATGTAACTAAAAGCTGTATTAATCCCAGGTTATATTCTGAAAAGGAAACTATATTTCTTTTTGAATCATCTCCATGTAAATTATCCTTACAATGAATTGTATTCAAGTAATGTCAGTCCAGCAGCCCAATGACAGAAGGGATTATTCCTTTCCTTCACAAGCTGTCTTTAAAGAGACAGTGAGTGCTCAAGTAAGCTTTGGGATAGTTCAGGTGATAAAGGCCTGAGGAGAACATAGAAGATAGACCCACTGCTCAATTAGAAATAAATTCCCATGATAATAGGTATAGTTTCCTACCTGCAATACAAATTGTTTTCATTTTAAAACATTTCAGTATTGTAAGCATAACTTTAAATATTTTAATAACCTGTTTGTTTTTGCCGTTATTAGTTAGGCCTATTACAGACACACTTGTGAAAATATATATATATATTTATTAAATATACATATTTATTAATTAATTACATTTATATGCCACTCATCTTGTTATCCAAGGTGACTGCATTTCCTTTAATTTGATTCCAGGATTTGTTGGAGCATTTGTGTCCTTGGATTTTATAATCCTTAGAATCCTTGCCCAAATTATTGCCCAAATTATTAGGTATAGGATAAATCATGTTGTTAATTCTTGAATATCCTAAGGAAACAACATAGTAGGAATCCAAAGAAATGTAGAGCTGGGTTGTAATCAAATTTAGCAGAGCCTTCAGGTTTTTTTTTCATAATGGCATTTTATTTTGCTACAGCCAACTTTCTAGTTTAAGTAGAATATCGAGTTTAAAGTATTTGATATTTATTTATTCATTGTTGCCTTAAATTAGGTTAACAAAAAGTAGCAATCTTAATTTTTAATTAACCTGCTTACAATCACAGCATTTTTGATAATACAAAATTTACCTGATCATAGGTAGCTTGCTAGTTGTAATCCAAACTCTTGCATTATTGACTGTCTGCTTCATATTGTTTCTGGTACATATAGTCTGTTTATTTAGGAAATGGACTAAATTTGATTTATTCTACTGTATGCTTCAGTCTGCATACAATACTGTCAGATCTATTGCTCATGTTGGCATGTATCTTTCAACCTTATCTTTCCCCCCCCCCCCCAATCCTGATCCTATGAGTAATCTGTAAGAAATTTCTTATTGTTGTGATTCATGTCCTAATTTAATTGAATATGTTGATCATTAGGCATGTTCTGTTTCTATTCTTCACACCCAATATGTATTTAGTAATTAACAAAACAATTCACCCACATCTTTCCTTTGGAATAAATCCACAAAAACATAATACAAGAAAAACACTCAATAATAAATTTGAGAATTAGTTTATTTAGTCACAATTGTTTTGTGCATATCTTTTTTTCAGATTCGTTTTTTTGAAAGTAGCAACATAAGCAATTTTCATGTGCTGAATGAACTTGTTGCATCTTAGTGATCTTTGTGAAAATATTTTATGCTTTTTTTAAAAAAAAATATCTTGCATTGGCATCAACCTGAATTATGATTTCTTTGATCATTATAATATGGAATAGATTCATCTATAAGGATTCATTCCTATTATGGAAATGTAGTCATTCTTTCGAGCAGAATCATAGCAGCATTAAGATGTAAATGTTATATCAAGTTTATTAAATATTGTATGTAGCATTTTAAACATTTTAGACATGATTATACTATTTGCCAAATACAATATTAAATAGTTTTAACTGTTAGTCTGGCCTCCCTGAATGTAGTAAAGTGGAGATTTGTATTAATTATCTTTGATAGGTTCAGTAACCTGTATTTCTTTGATCATTATAATATGGAATAGATTCATCTATAATGTAGGATTGTGAGGTTTTGGAATAAGAATTTGAATGCATATTGGTATGCATATTTATATGCATGCTAAATTGAAGCTAGTAATTATTTTGTTCCCTTTGTCTTTGCATTTTCATATACGCTTTATCATTCATTCTTAATCCTACTTTAGCTAACTTAAAAAAACTTGATATTTTTGACCTTTTCATCTTAGTCTAGATTCTTTCATTCTGTTCTTTTATCAAACAGAATAATTTTATTTAGGTATACATTATGTGCCAATGGACATATATTTTCATTTGCTTTTTCTTCTCTTATTACTTTTTTCTCTTCAATCTTGATTCATCTTGCTTCTTTGACTTAACCTAGGGAATTATGATAAGCACACCTGACCACACTTGATCTTAACCAAAAGTGCAATTCTTGATTTCTAATTTCTCTTTTCATTTTGAGGAATATTTCTTGAGCACTGAATGGGTCATGGTCTTAATATTATATCTAAAGGATTTCTGAAGAAATTGATTTTTCTGCTGTTTTACAGTGCTTCATTTGGTAGAAGTAGTGAAATCACCAGTCCCTACATTTCAGCTAATCGCAATGCATTTTCTACTACCTCATCTACTATTCTTGGTTCATCTACCTCATTGGGCACAGAGTGGCAGATTGCCCCTTGCCCAACATCTACCAGGCCTAACACTACAACATCAGTTTACCAGTCTACCAGGTAAGGGGATCATAATATGCTGAGAAAATTATGAAGAGGGGTTATAAAGGAACCTAGTGTTATTGCTGTCAAAACACAATATTTCATTCTGAACGTTCTTCCCAATAGTTCTGCTGCATCTAAAATGTTATTTAGGCAATAGAAGGTTATATATTTTATGATTTCCACAAAAACTGGTTATTAGAATTGTGAACCTATGTCTCATTATGGTAGAAAGGTACTTTTTTATTCAATTCCAGAAAGGTGCTTTGGAGCTCATAGGGGTGGGAAAATAGCATCTGCTCTTTAAAGGATCATGTTTTTTTCTGGGATTATGCAGCAGCTATGAAGGGCAGCTGTATGATCCTGGGAAAGAAGCACCTGCTGTAAAGAGTCATAGACTTTGGTATCCCAATACATCTCAAAGCAGTTCTTTACCACCCAGCTATATTATTTTGACAGATTTTTATTAAGATTTTTCTTCTTGGATTCTTTAATTACAGTTTTCCAGTTGTTAACTCTTCCTTCTGTCATTTGTGCTCAGTTGCTTTGCTAGCTGAACCTGATTGAGGGCAATGTTTGTGGAATTACCTTTCTTCGTTCCTATTCTAACACTTTTAATCATGTTACTTGTCATTATTTATGCACTAAGAAGAAATCACTATTACTATATAAAATGTTCAGATGACTGTTCTATTAACAGGGAAATTCATTTTGTTTCTCTTCCTTCTCCTAAGGCATTTTACAGTTATTTACAATTTCATTTTGTACGTTTCAGAGCCCCTTACCGACAACAAAGTGACTCTACCACAGAGAAGAGCACAGAGGCTGTCTCTTCTAGCATTCCATTAAGTGTCATAACAAATCTCACTGTACCTGGAAGTTCCAATGGTGTCACAACTACTAATTCTAACTCACTGACTGGAACAGAGTCATCTACTGGTGATGCCAGGGATCGAAGAAGGTTAGTGAGCCTTTTATGGGGTTATGAGCTGCATTTACTGCATAACACAGATCTAATGGTAGGTAAGATCATATTAAGCTTTCCCCCCAAAAAATTTGCCTTATCAATTTGCTTTTCTTTTTGTTAAAACATGATCATATAAATTTAGTGCAACTCAAGTTGTGCTCTGAGTCATGGTATATATACTTTTAAATATAAACATTACTTTCATTAAAATTAATGTTATTCATATAATGACATTATTTGAAAGGGTTTATTCTTCACTATCTTATGAAATATTTCCTAGTACTAGTGTTGTCATTCAGGAAATGTGAAGTAAATGGATCCTAGTTTCTATTTTGATTTGGTAAATTTTCCATGGATGTATGAGTTATGAATATTCTTTACAGAAAGTTGAAACAGTGTAAAAAGCTTTTACATTTTATCTATTATTATTGTTAAATAATATTTATTTGTATAAAATAAAATAAAATAAAATAAAATGAATCTTAAAATTACTCTCAATATATTTTTTGATTCTACTTATATTTTACTGCAAGGATCTGCTCATAACTTTACATATTTATTCTTGTTCTGTTCCTTGATTGTAAGTTTAAACAAATAAACTGCAGTGCTATTTGATCTATGACTTCTGAAATAGATTTTGTAATTACCATTTCTTCAAAAGGGAATGCTTCAAAATATAAACTTTCTATTAACTAATGAAGAGCCTTGGATATTTTTTGTGGATCATGGTAGAAAATGAGAATTACATGTGAATTTGGGCTTGCCAATTATTTATTTTTCTTGTTGATTTTGTTGTTGTTCAGTTGCTAAGTCATATCTGACTATTCACACCCCATGAACCATAGCACACCAGTCCCCCCTCCCATTTTCCTGCACTGTCTCCCTGAGTCTACCCAAACTCATGACCACCGCATTGATGACACCATCTTATCTTCTGCTGCCTCCTTCTCCTTTTGCCTTCAGTCTTTCCCAACACCAGGGTTTTTTTTCCAATGAGCCCTCTCTTTTCATTTCGTGGCCAAAGTATGTGAGCTTTATTTGAGGATCTGTCTTTCCACAGGACAATCAGGGTTGATTTCCTTTAGGATCTTGTTGATTAGAGTTTGTTGAATATTCAAATTAGCTAAAAGCCTATGACACTTAAGCAAGGAGCAATTTGCAGATTTAAAATAGGTTCTGAGAAAGACAGATCACTAGATCTTTTTAAAACATTTTTTAATGGAAGCTTAACATGAACAATGACAGATATTTGCAGATATTTTAGTATGGGATTTCAGCATTTTGTGGCAGCTGTCACAATAATACGTTTATCTAACTCAGTGTTCCCAAAGCTACAGTGTTCTCTTAGCAACAACAACATAAACTTCCAGGCTAATATTAGATCATTAAGATGCCTCCATAACAGGCTTGTCTATTTGAAGTCACTGGATTAAAATGTAAATGCATTGCTTAAGTTTATGGAAAAATGAGTAAGCACTCGGGAATGTCCTTCCTTTCAAAAGTGTGCTGTTCCAATCATTTACATGCTCTAGTTTCTTGATTCACTCTCATATCTTTATGCATGCTCAAAGATATCTGTAAAACACAATTCTTTGTTCAGTTCCTTATCTGCAGGTTTTATGTACAAGCTCCTCTACTGTTCTGATTCATACTTTGCTGATAGCACTTTTGATGTAATCCAATCTTAAACTGTTCCAGTAATGTCCAGAAAGGAGAATCATAGATACAGTCCTTTGTGCATGAATATCAGCTAAAGTAGTTTGCTCTGCATAGATTTTATTAGCTAAACAATATTGGACAGTATTAATTTGGAGTGGCTGCTATATAGCTCTATTAATAGATCAGAAATGCCTGATGAAAACAGAACTTGAGCTCCAAAGTGTTGTTCCTAAGCATTTTATTCCAGATTAATATATTAATAGCAAATAAATCTAGCGTGTTCCTACCAGGGCTGGGATTCTACCAGTTCGGACCTATTCACTAGAACCGGTTAACATTCTAAGCAGTTCAGAGAACCGGTTGTTAGAAGAAATTACTGGCCTAATCCTGTAAAGAAGGCAGGAAGGAAACATTCTGGTGTTGCTTACAGAAATTGCCTCTCTATTAACCCTTATTACGTTCTTGGCAGGACTAGACTTCCTGTCTCAGGAACTTCTCTGGAGTTTTTTCCCCCTCCTTTGCTGGTACTTTTCTTGTGTGGAGTGACCATTCAAAGTTACAATGGCACGGAAAAAAGTGACATGACCATTTTTCACACTTATGACTGTTGCAGCATCCCCACAGTCATGAGAGGCCAGGCGAGGAGATGCATGCCTCGATGTGAGTGATATTGAATTGGCCACACCCAGCCAATAACTTGACCACCAAGCCACGCCCACCAATTTAGCCACGCCCACAGAACCGGTTGTTAAAAAATTTTAATCCCACCCCTGGCTCCTACCATAATACTTGCCTGGCTCTTGATAGATGACATAAAGGAAAAGAGTCCTCTTTAATATTGTTCTTGTTCTTCTTTAACAGAATCAGTTGAAGGGGTAACTTTATATTCGGTAAGATAAGATTGCCAAAATATCAGTAACTGGATTGCTTTATTTTAGAATCCAATTTAATTTTCAGCTTGTTAAGATAGAGCCTTTTTCTAACAGCTTTCTTGTGAACTGGTATGATGCTTGATCTCTTTCCAGATATTTCATCCTTGAACTGTTTGAATTATTTCATCAAGCTGATTATTTCTCCAAAAACTCAGGAGACATTCAGCTATCTAGTACAGAACACAGCTTATTAATAAAAGAATGAATAGCAATAGCATTAGATTTATATACCACTCCACAGCGCTTTATAGCACTCTCTGAGCAGCTTACAACGTCAGCATATTGCCCCCAACGAACTGGGTCCTTATTTTATTGACCTCGGAAGGATGGAAGGCTGAGTCAACCTTGAGTCCAGTCAGGATCAAACTCCTGGCAGTAGGCAAGTCAGCCTGCAATACTGCTTTCTAACCACTGTGACACCACGGGTTCTCGTATGGAATTATACGAGATAATTATAAGAATATGTTCCAATATCTGATTGAAACAGGACCACACAGTTTCAGTTTTTGTTACTTTTTATGGAACTTACAGAAACAGTATAAAACAATTTTAGTATCAGCCATGCCTTGTTGGAGCAGACAAGCACTTTCAAGTGTCCAGCTTCTGAGCTGCTTACATTTACATTTTTTGTGATGGCAGTCGGCTCTCTTTACTGGTGAGCACAAGATGGCAAAGCAGTTTGTGCCATATTATACAATCATAACATATTGTGTTCCTAACATATAAACACTCGTTAGATATTAGGACTAATCCTATTTTTCCTTATGTGTTTAAGGAAAGGGTTTACCAAATGAATGGACAAAATATCATCTTTCATAGTCTGAAGACCTGACAGATGATCTCACTTTAGCTAATGATCTTCAGAGAAGCAAACCTTTGATTTTCTGTTCTTGTATTTAATGGATTTTGAAAAAAACTTTCCTATGGTGCTCTTCAGTGTTCTTTTTTATTTTGGATTGTACCTTCAAACACTTACCGTATATACTCGAGTATAAGTCGACCCGAATATAAGCCGAGGCACCTAATTTTACACAAAAAACTGGGAAAACTTATTGACTCGAGTATAAGCCGAGGGTGGGAAATGCAGCAGTTACTGGTAAATTTCAAAAATAAAAATAATTAATTTGGGAAACGATCTCACTATCATGAAAGGTTTAATTGATTCATTAACCCAAAAGAAGAAGATGATGATGACAGCGGGAGGCAGGAGTCACTCTCTTCCCCTCCCCTCGGAGGCCCCCTGAGTCAGGAGTCGCTACCGCCGGCGCGGCCCCAGTCCCGCGTCGCCTCGGGAAGGGAAAGGCAAAAAGGAAGAGCCGCGGCAGCGCTTTGCAACAGCAGCAGCGGCACCGGAGGCTCAGGCTCAGCGGCTCCTGGTTTTGCCCCACCCTTCCCAAGGCAATGCGGGACCGGAGCCGCACTGGCGGCAGCAACTCCCGACAGCCCCAGCCGGACACCTGAGCGGAGATGTAGGGAGAAGGCAAAAGCGACGGAAGATCCTTCAGAGGAAACTGAGGGGGAGACTCACCCTTGGTCCAGATGAGCCCCCTTCCCCGCCCCTAAGGAAGCAGAGGCAGCCAGCAAGGGCAGGCAAGCCCCGCTTCACAGACTCCGTCCGTCCTCACTCCCATCCACCCACCCACCCAAAGCCACGAAGTCCCCCAATCGCGCAGCCCAGAATCGCCCTCCCCTCAGGGGGCAGCAACGACGCCCGGTTTTTCCCGAGACAAGAAGCTCCGCCGTGCAATGAAAGCGCTCAGAAAACAACGCGAGCCGAGGTGGCTTCGGCTCCGCTCGGCTTCTCCAACATCCGGCACCGCCCTGTTCTATGTGCCGGGCCCGGCAAGTCCGAGCAGCCAGCGCGTGGAGCAGGACGGCGCCGGAGATCGTTGGCTGCCTCTTTCGCAGCACGGGAGGCCTCCCCCGGCTGGCCAGCTGCTCTCCTCCTTCTCTGCCTGTTTGTTCTGTGTGACCGAGGAGGAGACCGGCCGGCTGGTTGGGGGAGGCTTTCTGCGCTGAGGGAGGCGGTTGCTGGTGTCCGGCTTTGCTCCGCTTCTCCGATGGTCCGGCGCGGCCCTGTTCTTTACTTGGGCAGACGGGCGCCCGCAACGGCACCCACGGCGGCAACAGGCAGTTCCGCCCGGGCTCCGCTCAGGTGTCCGGCTGGGGCTGTCGGGAGTTGCTGCCGCCGGTGCAGCCCCAGTCCCGCGTCGCCTCAGGAAGGGAAAGGCAAAAAACGCTTCCCGTGCTGCGAAAGAGGCAGCCAACGATCTCCGGCGCCGTCCTGCTCCACGCGCTGGCTGCTTGGACTTGCCGGGCCCGGCACAAAGAACAGGGCGGTGCCGGATGTTGGAGAAGCCGAGCGGAGCCGGGGATCATTAGCCGCCTCTTTTGCAGCACAAG